ATAAAGATATTACTAGGCAATTTAAGCATGTTAAAATATAGTAAATATTTAATTTTATTATATATTGAAGCTAAATAAGAAACTTTATATCATTATTAATTTTATTTATAGATAAAATTTAATGAATGTTATAATCATTGTTATCAAAAATGCCACTATTTCTTTAGTATCAAAAAAATGTGACAATGAGTTATATGATATTTATTAGCCACTTTTTGGAAATAAGCAAATGTTTGAAAAATATTTAACTTATGCCTAAAATACTATAAGTCATTTAAAGATATATATGGAAAACAAAGCATTATCAATCACTCAAAAGCAAATCTGACAATACTGCTGATTCTAATAATTACAATTAAAACCAATATATCCATAATGTAGGTTTATGTGATTTATGTATTGAATGTAATAAGAGTTTTATATTCTAAATATAAGGTTTAACAGAAACCAATTCAAAAAATTGCATTCATTTTTAGAAACTGTTGATTATAGTTGTGACGCTACTTTTGCAGATTTTACAGATTTTCTATGGCTATAAACTCAAAAGAGATGATTTGGAAAATATAAGCAATGTGGAATAAGAATATTTTCGTAAATGCAAAGTTGAATTGTTAACATGAAATGGAAAGGTCTTATTATTCCGCCAAATGGGACATTAAAATTTCAAAGAGCAATGATGCTTATTCGTACTGCACTGTAATGAATGTAGGACAAGTCCAGGATTTAAGTATATAGGTTTTTGTAAATTACATTTTGTTTTTTTGATGATAATCTTAATATAATAACTAATCATCAATTCGTAGTATAATCACGTGATAAAAATAGATCCAAGTCATATGGCCGGTGATGAGAAATATTTATCTCGCCATAGTATGTTCATAGATAAAATAGCATGGGAAAAATTTTCAGTGCTTACGAAATTTTCATGAGTCATTTATTATTTATGTATTGGGCGCTTTTGCATTAAACATGGACTTTTCATATTTAAACATTTTAAAGTAAAAATTTTTTTTTTATTATTTCCCTTATTTTCGAGTTGTCTATTTTTCTCCAAAAGGTATTCTGCATGAATAACCTATCAAGTTGCTCTTACAAATATCTTGTCTGTAACTTTATTTATTTATTTAAAAAAAAAAGGACAAAGATTACATATCTCATCAAATGCAGGGACCTTTTTTTTTCTCAAATTAATTAAAACCATAAAACACAATACTTTTTTAGGAAAATTAAAATGTTGGGTTCAAAAATCTGCACTAACTTGCGCCCAACTTTTTAAAAGTCACATCCATTAAACAAAGAATTTTAAGAAATTCTACTCGTACTAGTAATCATTTAGTAATTTGTGTATGTGAAAATTGATTGTCATAATTCCATAAAAGAAAAAGTTTGTTCTCACCCTATTCTTCTATTATGATGTTTAAAAAGTTTTTATTACCAGGTATGGAAAGATTAAAAAAAAAGGCCCAGTGATAAAACCTGTTAATTCAACAATAGTGATTTGAGTTTATATTATTTATAATATAAATTAAGTCTGATAACGATAAGGTTTAAGGATAGAACCAATTTTTTTACTTTATTTTATTGCCTTTTCACTTTATACTTTTCCTTTTTTTTAAAAATTTTTTTTCTTTTTTTTCTTGGTAATTTAAAGAAAGAAAAAAAAAATTTTTTTTTTGCATTACGATTTGCTAAAGATGGAATTCCTATCGTCGGATAGCGATGACTCAGATAAAGATTCTTCAATGGTTATAGTCAGGCCAGAAGACATAACCGATGCTCCCATCAATCTCACTTATGAGGAAAAAGTAAATGAGAATCAATACCTGAAAACTTCATCGATTATTGGTGAAAAAGTATTTGATAGGGCCAATTTGGACAAATCAATGATTATTGGTGGAGAAAAAGAAAGTACTCGTTATAATAGTCCAATGACTAAGGATAAATTTGGGGACCAAAGAAATTTGACCGAATTAAATCCCCATAAAAATCCTTTGCACAATGATAAAGAATATCGCGAAGCCATTGGTAAAAGAAAATCCTTACCTCAACCAATTACAGGCGATTTAAGCGATGATAAAAACTTCCATAATCAAAGATTTTCATATGATGTTAATAGACAAACACCTTCCACAGACCCTGATAATATAATGAGTTCTTTTTCACAATCACATGATACAAGGAAAAGTTTGGAATTGAACGTTAACACAAAAAAACAATTTAAACCCGTTACAACTGAAGAATTTGATGAATTGCTTAGAATACCAATCCAATCAACCCGTAAGAAAAAGAAAAAGAAAATATTTTTCAACGATGACGATGATGACGATGAAGGCGATGACGATGATGATAGTTGCGATAATCAGAGCGATGTTAATAAAAAGAACAACTTCCAAAGTAAGCAAGACACTCGTCAGGACATCGAATATGGTTCAAGATCTCGAGACAACCTTTTACATCCACAATATATTGGTCAGAAGGATAACTTGGTTGATACTAATCGTGATATTATATATGGGTTAGAGCCTCAGGCTAACCTTCAAAGCAATAAAAAGAATCAAGACTCTCGTCGGGATACCGGATTCGGGTTTGGCTCTCAAGAAAACCTTTTACATTCACAATATATAAATCCGAAGCAAGATAATTTGGTTGATCGTGACATCAGATATGGGTTAATACCTCAAGATAACCTTCAAAGCAATAAAAATAAGCAAGATACTCGCCGGGACACCGGATTTGGGTTAGAATCTCAAGACAATTCACAATATATTAGTCCGAAGAAAGATGACTTGGTTGATGACACTCGTCGTGACATTAGATATGGGTTAGGACCTCAAGTTAACCTTCAAAGTAATAAAAAGAATCAACGGGACGCCGGATTAGGATTAGGATATCAAGACAATTCACAATATATTAGTCCGAAGAAAGATGACTTGGTTGATGACACTCGTCATGACATTAGGTATGGGTTAGGACCTCAAGATAACCTTCAAAGCAATAAAAATATTCAAGACACTCGTCGGGGCGCCGGATTAGGATTAGGATCTCAAGATAACCTTCAAGGCAATAAAAATAAGCGAGGTCCTTTGGCTGATGATACACATCATGCCATTAGATATGGGTTAGGACCTCAAGATAACCTTCAAAACAACAATAATAAGCAAGACACTCATCGAGACACCGGATTCGGATTAGGATATCAAGACAATTCACAATATATTAGGCCGAAGAAAGATGATTTGGTTGATGACACTCATCGTGATACTAGATATGGGTTAGGACCTCAAGTTAACCTTCAAGGTAATATAAATAAGCGAGATTCTTTGGCTGATGATACTCGTCATGACATTAGATATGGGTTAGGACCTCAAGATAACCTTCAAAAAAATAAAAATAAGCAAGACACTCGTCGAGACACCGGATTCGGATTAGGATATCAAGACAATTCACAATATATTAGGCCGAAGAAAGGTGATTTTGTTGATGACACTCGTCGTGACATTAGATATGGGTTAGAGACTCAAGATAACCTTCAAGG